CCATGACAATGGGTTAACGGTCCACTACTAGCCCTCACATTTCATCACATCATACCAATCATACAAATCAAACCATATTCCACAAACATTTTCAATGCACAAATCAAAACATACTTAATAAACAAATATAATATAATACGATGCCATTAGTACGCGAATCGAGTCACACGTAATCTAAGGAGACATGTCATCATGATAAGCCATCAAGCTTCATGAAATCTCAACTGCACTCTAAGATAACCGACACACTGGAAGAAATCGGGCTAGTTGACTAAAAAGCCAACCGTCAATCAAGATCGAGAGTAGCGTCCACAACCTTATAAATCTAAATCAAAAGATCCGCCGATCAGATTTCAGATCGTAACTTCTTGAAGTCCACATTATGCTTCTAGAACAATATACTAAAATTTCATTACGATCCAACAGTTGGATCTCCGCCGATCGCAAATTCAAGTGGTGGTCAACGTTTGATTTTTCAAATTTAGAAATTCAATTCAGGAAGATCCGCACTTCAGATTTTTGATCCGTCAGTTCCTAATGTTCTCAAATATTACATATTATTACTTATTAACGTTTGATGCTGATCCAACGATCGAATCATTAATTCATATAATAATCAAGTGACGGCCAACTAGGCGGTCAATTACGAAACTATGTTAAAACATTGGAATTTCACTAAACGGATGTCAAATATGGAATCAGGGCATCGAAATTAGCCTAGGATGGTCCGATGGATTCTCGGCCCAAGCGCTGCCGCCACGTGCCGCCGCACGCAATGGCCGACCACTCTGACTCACCAAAAAATTCAACTAACTCCAAACATTACCAAATTTTACAAAAATGTAGAACAGGTCAAGGGGAGCAATTTTCATACTTGGTCTGAAGTCTAATTCAACCAGGAAACGCCTGAAATCACCCTCGATCCACATGAACCGTAGAATTAGGTGTTTCTTGATTCGTCCTCAAATCGACTCTGATGCTCCAACCAATGATTGGTCATTGTTCCTGAGCTCAAGGGAAGTTATTTGATGGTGGGGATTGATAGGGAAGGTTGCAGAAAACGGTGAATCGCCACCAGGTGTCCTTGGAGTCGCCATCGCTGCATCCAACAAAACAAAATCAAATCTCATCAATTTTGTGTGGGAAATCGAAGAATGAGGGCCGGTGAGAAGTTCCCAGGTGGTGGCCCAGTGAAATTTGTCAGAAAATCATCAGAGGAAACGGCGACAAAGCTTTTAGGGGTCTGGGTCTAAACCGATTCACGGGTTGGAATCGGGTCAAGAGGAAAGCATCATGGTCAGCTATTACCTTGCCTCTCTCATTTCCCCTTCTTTCCCCCTTCCCCATTGGTTATATCCCATCATCCCCTACTTCTGATTGGTCGATTTCCCTACTTTTTCTCTCCTTTTTTTCTTCTCTCCTCAATCTATCTCTCTCATTTCTTTCTTCAACTCTGTATCATAGCCATCCACGTGTCACTTCCTCACTGTTCCAGATTTTGCTGGAGCTTTCTAGTAATGAAGGTTAAATTTACTAAAATTCTCCCGACTTTAAACGTTAATAACTCCTTCGTTATAGCTCCAAATTACATTCCGTTTGCGCTCACACGCTCGTATCGACAAGTACTAACCAAATATGTAAGAAAATTTGGAAAATAATGAAAGGATCAAATACGTCCATGAAGAATTCCGTTTAATACAATAGACGCAATTTTGTCCTTTTACTTATCAAAAAAATATACGTCGTAAATATGAAAGCGTTAAAACTATGAATATGAATATGAAATATAAGTTACGAAATTTTAAATAGGGAAATCCAGGGATAGGATTTCACAACGTTCCTGTAGAACGCCACGAATTATCGTGGATTACTCCCAATATGTCTTATTTAGATCCCCATACTTCTCAGTCTGAAACTAAAGTGTGACGCATTCTAGATCTTCAAAGCATTACTCAAAGCATGCCGAATGTTTTTACTATTCTAGCAAAGGTGACAAGATCACATATACCTGCTACAAACACACCTGCAAGGATGGACGTACTTAATGTACACCATAGCACCGTCTTGGAAGGCTGAATTATCCCCGACGGCCTCCCACACGGTAAGGTACACTAGCGGCTAGCCAATCACCTACTTCTACCCTGAAGCGTGACAAGCCTCCTGGTTCTAAGGATTCGCAACCTGGAAGAAGAAAACGGCACAAACTAGTGACCCTAGTTTGAATCCGACCATTGCCTACTCATCTATTCCAACGCATAAGGTTATTCTAAATTACGGTGATGTCTTAGATGAGACATATCGACCTACCGAGAATCGTAAGATTTCCATCCATTACGCAATATTGGATGAGGTTTGAAATCGAAATAAGATGATTGTTGATGATGCATTCGCGTATACCGTTGTTTCTGACATCATGCTTAGTGATGACATTAAACCACGTTCCGTTGATGAATGTCAACTTAGAACGGATTGGTTAAACTGGAAATAAGCAATCTAGGTCGAACTTGATTCGCTCACGAAACGTAAGGTGTTTGGGCATGTGGCTCCTACTCCACCACATGTGAAGCCCGTGGGCTATAAATGGGTTTTCGTGAGGAAGCGTAATGAGAATAATGAAATAATGCGATACAAAGCACGCCTTATAGCACAAGGCTTCTCTCAATGCCTTGGGATTGATTACGAAGAGACATATTCCCCCATAATAGACGTCATAACGTTCTGTTACCTTATCAGTTTGGTAATTTTCGAAAAACTAAATATGCAGCTTATGGACGTGGTAACCGCGTATCTCTATGGGGATCTAGATACATCAATGTACATGAAAGTTCCAGAATGACTTCCATTGACTGATTTAAATAGTTCTAGACCACGAAACACTTTCTCAATTAGATTAAGGATATCGCTCTATGGATTGAAACAATCCGAGTGAATATGGTATAACAGTCTGAGTGAAGATTTGACAAGTCAGGGTTATGTGAACAACGAACTATGCCCATGCATGTTCATTAAGAAGCCATATTCTGGATTTGCGATCGTTGCACTTTATGTCGACAACATGAACCTCATCGGAACTCCTGCAAAGCTTGAGGAAATTGCTGCTTACTTGAAATCGAAATTCGAAATGAAAGATCTTAGGAAAACTTGATATTGTCTCGGCCTGGAAATCGAGTATTGTTCGGATAGAATCCTAGTATATTAATCGAACTACACCCAAAAAGTGTTGCAACATTTTAATGAGGATGAAGCGAAGCCTTCAAGTACTCATATGGTCATTTAGACTCTAGATGCTAAACGAGATCTTTTACGTCCGAAGGAGGATGAGGAAGAGATTTTGGAGCATGAAGTTCCATACCTAAGTGCAATTGGTGCTTTATTATACTTGGCTCAATGCACTAGACCCGACATCTCTTTCGCTATTAATCTTTTGGCTAGATACAGCAATGCGCCTACACGCAGACACTGGAATGGTGTTAAAGGCATTTTCTGCTACCTCAAAGGTACGATAGATTTGGGCTTGTTCTACACCCACAAATCCTCAAGAAAAGCCGCCGCCCCCTCGATCTTCAAGTTGATTCTCGCCTCGTTGGTTACGCAGATGATGGTTATCTGTCTGACCCATATAGGGCACGTTCTCAAACGGGTTATGTCTTTACCATTGGAGATACTGCTATATCTTAGAGGTCTATCAAGCAAACTCTAGTTGCGACTTCTTCGAACCATGCTGAGATTCTCGCCCTACATAAAGCCTCACAAGAGTGCTTTTGGTTGAGAGTAGTTATGGAACATATTCGAAGCACTAGCCGTCTTTCTTTCGTCGTTGACCTTCCTACGATGATTTTTGAAGACAATGCAGCATGTATCGAGCAATTAAAGAAAGGATACATCAAGGGAGACAACACCACGCACATAGCGTGCAAGTTCTTTTATTCTCACCAGCAATAACAACATCAAAACATTGAAGTCAAGCAAACTCGTTCCCAAGACAACTTGGCCGATCTCTTCACCAAGTCATTGCCCAAGTCTAATTTTCAGAAGCTCGTCCAAGGAATCTGTATGCATAAATTATCTTAGTTGAATTGCTTGTAGTTCTCTTATTTAGAAGTTATGTCTAACTCAGAGGGAGTATCCTGAAGCATACTCACTTGATCTTAATGTACTCTTTTTCCTACGATTAGGAGCATTTTTCCCACTGGGTTTTTGCTACCTAACGAGGTTTTGACGAGGCACCCATCCTAGGATGTTCATACTTCGCTGAGTTCGCTACTTTCGTCATGTTTGACGTTTGTTTAAGACATTATGCATACTTCTCATTTTTCTCCTTAGTCTATGGGTTTTCCCCATGCCTTGGATTTTACCATAGCGAGATTTTGTGAGTTTTACTACGCCAATGCATACTTATTTTCTTATATTTGAGACTTGCATTCACCAATTGTGCCAACGACTTCACCAATTGTTCTACCTCGTATGCTAAAGATCTAATGCGACGTTTTGTTTAAGTATTTACACACTCAAGGGGAAGTGTTGCAGTCCTATTTGATTAGGAATGTGATTGTGTAAATCCTAGTATATCTAGGAGTATCTTGTATATTCCTTTTAGTAGTTTAATTCCAATTAGAAATGTAATCCTACTAAGGTAATGATTCTACCTATCCTACTACTATAAATAAAGGCATAACAAGGTGATACAACACACGCCTCAGAATTACATATATTTCTTCTCTCTCTATTGTCGCCGGCCCCTTTCCCTCTCTGTCCTTTATACAGTTTAGTCAAATAGGCCTACAACAATTCCTATATTATTTAGCTACTTAATACAACGTTATGGTGATATTCCTCTTTATTTGTAAATGACAGGTCTTCGATTCTTGTCAAAGATGAATTTAAATCACATCATTACTAATGTATTGTGAGACTTACTCCTACGTCCTTTAGTGTAAATAATATTTTTTGTTAAAAAGAAATTATATATTATTTACCCTTAATTTTCCTGAAACTAAGGATGAAATGCTTCCGATTTGAGGAGTCATATAAAAAAAATAATAAAATAAATAAAAATAAAAATAAAGTCAAAAGCAGAAGCAGTGAACAAACCTCCTGGCTGAGCGCGCGGAGCTCTCGAAGCCAACGGAGATGGCGATGACTGTGGCAACTTTCCAACCCAAAACACTTCGACCCAAAAGCCCTTACCTTCTTCCCAATCTACCCAGAAGAGTCTGCAACTTCAAGGCCTTCTCCCTCCACAATCCCCAGCTCCCATCACTCGTGGGTCAGTTCGAACCCACCATCCCAATAGAGAGAGCAGGGACTCCTCCCAGCTCATGGTACACCGATCCATCCTTTTACTCTCTCGAACTCGACACCCTTTTCTACCGTGGATGGCAGGCCGTAGGTCAGCTTCCAATTCCATTTAATCTTGGGAAATTGACTAAAATGATCCGAAATCAGAATTTCAATTGTTGAAGTGATCAAAATCAAATCAAATGTTAGCAACAAAGCGATCAGATGTCGACACATATTGAAAATCTGATCACTTCGGTAATTGGGTTTGAAAACTGATCATTTCGGGCAGTTTCCCTTTTAATTTTACTGCTTGATATCTGTTTGGTTCCTGAGAAAAGCCCAAATGAAAATTTATGAACTTTTGAATGGTTGTTGGTTTTCAGGATATACTGAACAGATTAGTAATGCAGGGGAGTTTTTCACTGGCAGGTGGAAACTTTTTTACTAGTATTTAGTTAAGTTCTGTTTGGTTTTTGGTTTTTCTTTTGGATTTTGGGTTATGATTTATTTGTTAACTCAGCAGATTGGGAAACGTAGAGTTTGTGGTATGCCAAGATGGTGATGGAAAGCTTCAAGCTTTTCACAATGTCTGTCGACATCACGCGATGCTCCTTGCGTATGGAAGCGGCCGCAAGTCCTGCTTTGTCTGCCCTTATCATGTCAGTTTCACTTACATTGCTGTTTGCTGATTGCTTCCAAGCAGATTCTTAAGGAAAAGAATATTAAATTTAATTAACTAATTACAACAGTAGAGAAATTACAGTTTTTTTTAATCCATTTTTCGAACTCTGATTAGCTGCAAAAGTTTTACCTTGTGGGTTTTGATTATAGTACGTCATTACATATGGGGTGCTCTTGCCACTCTATGTTTGCTTATCTTGGAAAAACTTTCAGTGCTTAGAAATAGGGTTTTGTTTATAAAAAATTTTGCTAGTCGAGTTAACTTTCCTATGGTTTTACCTTCTGATTAAATACTTAAGCATGCAATCCCTTTTGCAGGGATGGACGTATGGGTTAGATGGTGCACTTCTCAAGGCAACTAGGATAACTGGAATACAGAATTTCAATGAACACGTATGTTGTAACATTATTTTGGATGCAATTACATTCCCGCTATTGTTCAATATGGAGGGATAATTTGATTGATTTGTGTGGCCGTGAAGGGTAGGAGTTTGGACTTGTACCACTAAAAGTAGCAACTTGGGGACCGTTTATTCTTCTCAATATGGAACAGAATGTTGACAGTGATCCAGGCAGTGTGCAAAATGAATGGCTTGGCAGCTCCGCAGAAGTACTGAGTAACAACGGGATTGATACTTCATTAAGTTTTGTTTGCCGACGTGATTATGTGATTGAATGTAACTGGAAGGTATGCTCCATGCCTGTTCGCTTTAAAGTTTTCCTTACTGGATGAGTTTCCAGTGGTGATGATAATCTTTAATGACTCCTTGTTTAGGATGAAGGAGTCGACAACTGATTACTCTTTCTTTTTGTAGGTCTTTTGTGACAACTACTTAGATGGGGGATACCACGTGCCTTATGCACATAAAGGCCTTGCATCTGGTCTTAATCTTGACGGTTACTCTACCACAGTATGCTTCCGTTAACAACTCTTCTTGGCGTATGTACTTCAATTGCAAAAATAATTCTATTTACAACACTGAAGGTGTTTGGAATTGTACTATGGATTACACGACTTTTTCTTCGAGCACAATCAGACCAAGGATTCATTATCTAGAGTTCTGTGAAGAGCTTTTATTCTTGCAGCATAGATCCATCTAGTAACGTTGTCTTTGGTCCTCAATTTTTTTATTGTTCTGCTTCAGTGTTGGTTGCCTTTGCATCTGATATATTGCTGTTGGTTATATAGATGTATGAAAAGGTCAGCATTCAAAAGTGTGAAAGCGGCTCGACAGAAAGAAAAAATGATTTTGATCGGCTTGGGTCAAAAGCGCTGTATGCTTTCGTGTATCCAAATTTCATGATTAATAGGTAATTGATCAGTGACTTAAAGTGCAATGATTGCTACATTAGTTACTCGTACTAAGTTAATTCTTCAATGAACTTCGTATAACTACGCTTTTTATGGTTTCTCATAGGTATGGACCTTGGATGGATACCAATCTAGTTTTGCCGCTGGGACAAAGGAAATGTCAAGTGAGATTTGATTACTTTATTGAAGCTTCTCTTAAGGTAATACTTAATTTACTCTGCTTGATAATCCATCTCTCTTATCCACAATATTAAGTTAGGATGTCGTTATCCAGTTTTACTGTGGTCTTCACACCGAATTATTTAGGGTTACGTTTAAAATTGAAAGTTTCTAATGTCGTATAAACTTTCAATTATCTGTCGTCGAAAAATTGATGTTTAAAATGTCATAGCACGCTAACTGATTTGCTCCTTCCAAGTAATATGAAGTCACACAAGAGCCAATTAAGATTCGCACAGCACGTAGCATACTCATTGTTTCGTCGTGTTGATTTCTGCTGTGCTGTCTTCTGTTTATTTGATCTTTTGGTTCTCAGGATGACACAGATTTCATAGAGAGAAGTTTGAAAGACAGTGAAAGAGTACAGGTATAATCAGTTCACTCCTGGTTCATAGAATGTAATTTGTATTATCCGCGCTTAACTCACAACTGGTTCAACAGATGGAAGATGTCATGTTATGTGAAGGCGTTCAAAGAGGTTTGGAATCGCCCACATACAATGTCGGTAGATACGCCCCAACTGTTGAGAATGCCATGCACCATTTCCATTGCCTGCTTCACAAGAGCCTAACAGAATGATGAACTCATTGCCTTTGGGTTCTCACTCTCTTTAGAGGAGGTATTGTTCTAAGTCCTTAATGTCGCATGTGTACCTAATGGGAATTCGTAGGTGTAACCGGAGGTATATCTGTATATTTACACCAGAGGTATACATTACATGCGAGTGTATTTTGCAAGGCGACACGCGGTTTAAATATTTCTTTTTTACAGACATCCAACATTCGAAAACAGGTCAAACTATAAAACCCCAGATCACTCTTTAGGTACATAAACTGCACAAGTAAATTCCAGTGAGCAGAGACCAAACCGACTATTGCTTCTGTAAAGCTGAATGCTGCAAAAGTACATTCCCTACTTAACACATGATTAGTTCGTGGATTCTGTGAAATGTTATCTGTTGTTAGCCAAAAACCAAAAAAAGAACGATGCAGACCCGGAAAGGTATGAAACCGCCTCTGTAACTGCAATATATCTTCACACTTCCTACTGACTAACCTGAAAGACGAAAGGGCAGGTGACTATTAATCACGGGCCCGGAATATACTAGTACATTTTAATCCTGAAGCGAAATATACAAGAACTCCTACCTCTGAATTGTTTCTTCGCCTAGGGATCATTCTTGTGAAATACTTGTATAACGGTGTTTCTGGAACTGGAATCAGTTTCCCAACAACAGCGAGAGGCCAACTGCAAGGGAGAAGAGTTGTGTCAACCAAACAGAAGAAAACTAAACACTCTCAGAGTGTCTTACTTATTTTACAAAACACGGCATAATCATAGGTTCGTTTGGGACAAATAATAAATATCATTGTAACGTCAATCAAACTTTAAACGTATCTTCACCAACTCACCTGATAAAAGCTATTACAGCTGAAATCAGCCAAAGATCCCAAGTAAGGGGTTTTGTTTTAGTGAACTTCCCAAGGAACTCGACGATGATAATCTAAAGAAAAGCAAAGCCAGGTGTAAACAAATGCAAACTTTCACCAAAGCCACATGAAAAAAACAAAAGCACTAAACTATCACCTGAAGTACGAGAGTTACTGCTACTATTCCCATAAAAAGTAAGTTCTTGGTTATCCCTTGGAATATATTGAACTCATCGGGCTTTCGAGCATTGAATTCATTGAAAATCTGCAAGTTGAACATTACACTTATTAAAGACGTTGTATGTTGAACAATTACACTTATTAAAGACATCCTTTTGATAAATCATACTTAAAAATACAAACGAATAAACCCTAGTAGCTTCATCCTCAACCAATTGGTAAACAACACTAGAAATGCATACAATATTCCATTAGAGCTGAATTGACATGTTGCATATCATTTTCGACAAATCCACTTTAGTAGCAACTTAGTGCAGAACTTAATAGGAAAACTCGGAAGTGAGAAGCTTAGACTTACTTGACAAAGGACACCAGAAAAAAAAATACAACAAACGTAGACTACTTAATATTAACCAGGTATGACTTACTTGACATAGGACAAATGTATTGAATATCAGAGTATTCTTCACAGTGGTAGCATTGGGACCATGCAGCTTCAGTATACTTATTCCTCGGAAGTTGAAGACAAGTAGGACAGTGACTTGGTAGAAAGCCTGAAGTTCAAGAACAATATATCAAATATACAAACGACAATGTAGAGTATGTAGCACGACAATACACGTTATACTTCAATTTACATAAACTTAATAAACGCATGTACCTGAACCAACAAGTTCCTCCACATTATATTTGTTATGAGCGGCTCTCTGTAAAACATTGTACCATAGGTTCATTACTATAACCATCCCAAAAGCAAATAGTCTGCTTAATGACATGAAATATCCAACAATATGGGCCAAGAAGAAGGCAAGCACATTCAAAACAATAAAACTATACTTTTAGATTCTGTGCACAAAAACACAGTAAAAAAGAGTTGGAAATTTCTCTCGCAATCCCACTGACGCCTTGCAATTTCAGAATTTAGTTCCTCCATGTAAATATATATGGCTATGGTAAGCATTGTCAAAATGACTTGTTGACAAGGACTTGAAAGATAAATGTAACTGGTAAAAAGGAAACCTAACAGAAACACACTTTGACACAAAATATTGTAACTATTTTTGTCATAGAAAAGATCAAGTCTTGTTCCCTCGCCTCCCTTTTCAGGGTAGAGATCCGGTGCACTACGAAAACAAGAACTTTATCCAAAACAGCATGACAAAATAATTATAAAAAAAAAGGGAAGAAATGATATTGTTAAATCAACTAAAACAAGATGCTACTTTTCAGAAACTTTAGGTGACTAACGAAGATTAAGACAGCATATTTGGTATAATAAGCGATTTTATTTTATTATTTGTTTTGTAAAAAGAAGCCATCATCACAGAAATCTTACCTTCGACCAACAGGGGTTCTGTCCATCAAGTGATCTGTAGGTGGCTCCGTAGCCAATGCTAGAGCTCCAAGAGTATCCATGATAAGATTCACCCACAGAAGCTGAACCAAGCACAAGAAAGGCATCCACAGGTGTACACATGGAGGCGAGAGATATGTGTGTGTGTAGATAGAGATACAGATATATATATATATATATATATATATAGAGAGAGAGAGAGAGAGAGAGAGAGAGAGAGAGAGAGATCAGAACCTGAACAGCATTTAGTGGAACGTCACCAGATGAAATGGCTGCCACGACATTTATAATTAGTGCTGCAACATTGACTGTAAGCTGGAATTGGATGAATTTCTGAATATTTGCATATACAGATCGACCCCATCTAACAACCTACAACCATTAGATAAACAAAACACTGTTAAAGATTAGCAAATTTGGGTTTCTGAATCGGCACTTGAAATAATAATGAAAAAATAGACCAAGATAGATACACATACGGTCAGTTTGTCACCATGCTGACACTCCCTAAACAACTGCTTTTTTTGTTTAATCAACTTTTTATTCTTTCCCACTTTTCGATCTCAACCAATGTTTTAAAAGGCTCGCCTCAAGGCACGCCTAGGCACCCTGTGAGGCTGGGCTTGAGGGTTGCCACCTCTGTATTGAGAGAGCGGGCGGAAGGTGTTGCCGGAGCCACCTAGGCACACCTCAGGGGATTTTTTTTTTTTTTTTTTTTTTTTTTTTTTGCTCCCAAACCCAAATTTTGGGTAGGGTTTTAACTGCCTCATACCTTTTCCTTGCACTATCATCTCTTTGCCTTTTTTTCTGATTTTTATTTTTTTATATAATGGATGTGTGTGTTGTCTGCGTGCATTGTTATATGCGTGCTCATTGTGTTTTTCATCCTCTATTATATATATATATATATATATAATATATGTATATATATGTGTGTGTATTTATAATATATGTGTGTATGCTTGGGGTGATTATTGATTAATAATCTTCCTTTTTTTAATGTAATATATGTGTACGCTCAGTGTATATATTAAAAAATTTAGGTCCCATGAGGCTCCTAGGCTGGGCTATCCCTCGGACGCCTCGCCCACACCTCATGCTTTTAAAACATTGATCTCAACATATTTTCTGTTAGATTCATGTTCTAGGAATTAACTCTCAGCCATCTCCAAAGCTATTGAGATCTCTCAGCCTGATAACACCAATTTCACAATGCAAAACAAACCCTCCCTATAGGTGTAAATGGTTCCCAAATCAAAGAGACCAGATTGGAAGGCTAAGACGAATGATTTCTTGGATGGTTCTAGAAATAGTCAAACCATTTTCACAACATGACTTGTCATGCCTTTTCTACCTAAGCAGAAAACCAAAGATTTCTAGTTCTAAACCACCATAAAATTGCTTTGATGGGCTAATCAGTTATAATCTCAATCTTTTTCAAATTCTCATGTTTTCTGGGCATTAATTTCTTTCAGTGACGCTGTGGTACTGAGGATGAATAGGTCACTGATGTTCTCAGTTGTTTGCCATTTTCGTCTAGCAGTGAATCAATTTATTGAAGCAATATTCTTGACAATGCACTCTATATGCTATTTCGCTGCAATTGTATGACTAAACAAAAAGCAAAATTCAGTGTATGCGAGCCTAATGTGGAAAAGTTATACATCTGGACACCATATATGCACACTGAGTGCTATCCTATTCACTGAAGGGTGAGGGGGATGCAAGAAAAATTAGAAGTGAGAACTGAGAGTGAACAAAGTAATAAATTAATTAAAAGTATGTATCATCCGTTGGATGGAATTTACCGAATGAAACACCTGAACTTTTGTTACAGTCCAGTTAAAAGAATGAGCTTGTGTTTATGTTACTGATTAATTAAAGCACTAGACAACATGTCTATTAAAGAAAGGAGTTATGAACAGAAAGATAGAACAGAGTGCTACAATACAATAGACAATGACATTACTAAGAAAAACTGCAAAATGTTCATACAGTTACTAACCTTCACAACTGAAGCAAAATTATCGTCCAAGATAATGATATCTGAACTCTCTTTGGCAACTTCAGTCCCTTGAATACCCATTGCAAGACCAATGTCCGCCTGAACTCGTATGTGGATTATTTCCAAAAGAAAAAAACCATCAGAACATAAACTCATTTAACACCACAGCTAAAAGGGACAAAAAATGACCCGCTACAAAACTAGTGCAGGGATTCAAACACATTAGACTGCTACAATAAAATCAAAAAAGACAACAAACAAAAACTGAAGTTAAAACATTTGACAAACCTCATGCAGTGCAGGAGCATCATTAGTGCCATCTCCGGTTACAGCAACAACATGACCCCTTCTCCTCAATGCTTGCACAAGCAGAAGCTTGTCATTTGGGGAAGACCGCCCCATCACCTGCACATTACACAAAAAAGAACCAATTTTCCTCAAATCTGGTGTTCACACTTCAATCATCAAAACATGTCACCAGAAACAATATGCAAGTAAATACGAGTAGATATCCAATTACTCAGATCATACCGAAATCTTTTCAGCATAATCTTCTCTCTGCTTATCCGAAAGTTCACGGAAAACTTTTCCTTCAATGAGAGTTGGCTCGGTAGCATCTGAATCTGGAGCAAGTATGCCACATTCCATAGCAATTGCTTTCGCAGTTTGAACATTGTCACCCGTGACCATGCGCACCTACAAAATTCTCAGATTGGAAGGAGAATTTAAGATACAACATCCAGT